TATGCCGGGCTAACAGTCACGGCCACATGGAGTGTGGAGGGAAGGAGGCAGAGGCTGGACACAGTGTCATCTCCTTCTTCTGAAGCCATTTCAATAATGCTCTCAGGGGGAAAAATTGGCTCTATTAGTCAAAGGGTGAAAAAGCTTAAGATCTTACAATCATTTGCAGCCCTCTGAGCTCCACTCTACCTGACAAAATCTTATTCCTTCTTATTCTTTAGTATTAGTTTCTCTGCTCTCCTTAAGGAGAATTTAAATTTAACTTAGTTTTTCCCATTAGGGGGCTATTAATGAAAACAGTTTTCTAGCCATCATTCCCTCCTTTCCTTAAGCTATAGAGCCATTTTCTGCCTGGCAAGTTGAGAAGGGGTGGAAAAGAAAAAAGAAGAGGAACAGAAGAAAAAGGAGTGGAGAGAGAGAGGAAAGGGAGGAGGAAGAGGAGCTACTCGGGATAATTTCCTGAAGACACATGCAAGAAAGAGAGTGAGAAGAAGCAAAAAGGAGAGTAATAGGAGGAAAGAAGGGAAGAAAAGGAGAAGGAAGACCGGGAGGAAGAAAAAAAGGAAGACGTCAATGAGGGAAAATGTACAAGGAACAGGTAGCTGTGGATAAATGAGGAAATTGAGGAGAGGGAAGCAGACAATACCCAGTGCTCCACTGGCCCCATACCTGCCCAAGCTCTTAGGTGGCTGTCTCTGTTTTGTTCTAATGAACAGAAATATAATTCTGTGGATTTTGCCTTCTGTTCATATCAGATGAGGGCTACTTACAGTCCAGCTTCCTTACTTCCCTGCTGTCTGGCACTGTTCTACACACCCCCTCTCCGACCTGTGCTCCCAGGTGCAGGCTCAGCCATGCCTACCTGGGTGTACCTGAGACCTGGTAGATTTCCTTAGTTCTCAATCTTCTTCAGATAACCAGAGTGAGGGCCCATATAGTATTGACAAGTATAGTCTCTTTCAGATCTCAGGTGACTGTGGTACCTGCTGACTGACTGTGGTTCTTTCATCCCAACCCTGAGAACACTGCAGGCCATAGGATCCATTTCCCTTCCAGGCTTTCAAACACCTCTCAGACTGAACCCCTGTTTAGTATTCAAAGGGGAACAACTACTGCAGTTCCTTTGGAAAGAGACAAGGGAAGTAAGAAAAATGTTTACAATTCAGATATTGACCAAATTGTCCCGGCCTGGAGGAGGTACAGGATCAAATCTAATCCCAAATTACTGCCCAGGAAACTGGCAGTCAGTTAAGCCCATCCCCTGGTCTTGCATGGACCCATGTGGCAGTAAACTAGACAGCCGGAGTTCAACATGATGTTACCCAAAGTGTTGTCCCAGCTATTCTTCAGGATCCATATGTGTGTCACACATTCATAAACAACCTCAAATTTAAACTCTACATTATCTCTACATGAGACAGGCACCAAGATATGCTGACAGAATTGAAAGAAGACAAAGTTCATCTTATAGACAGAAACTTGTATCCCAGTACCAGGTCATACCATGCCCCTGAGGACTAAGAAAAAACCACTTCTCCCTTCCTTCCTTCCTTTCTTCCCCCTTCCCTCCCTCCCTTCCTCTCTCCTACCTTCCCTTCCATCCTTCCTTCTTTCCCTGTTTCCTTCCTCCCTTCCCTCCTTCTCCCCCTTTCCTTCTCTTCCTTCCCTTCTCCTTTCCTTCCTTCCTTCCTTCCTTCCTTCCTTCCTTCCTTCCTTCTGTCCTTCCTTCCTTCCTTCTTCCTTCCTTTGCTGGAGATTGAATCCAGGGCCTTGCACATTCTAGGAAATAATCATTTTAGCCTTGTCACATTTTGTGAAAAGTACAATTATATTCATGGTCTTCTGCGTATATACAGAAATGGTAATATGTTAAAGATAAACATTTCATTTGAAATATATTAGATTTTTAAGTCCCATTTGGCTTTTTTTTCACTTACTAATACACCAGAAGCTTCAATTAATAAAGTGGCTATTTTTGTGATAACAGGTAGCCTGCTCTATAAGGGCTGAATTGTTCATTTTCAGGGTCATATGCAAAGATAAAGCATGACAGGCCAACAGTCTTTGCAATAATTGTGTATATTATGGTAGAAGCACCTAGCATAGGCCGAACAATTATTACATATTGAATATTTATTCCATGTCAATGAGTACATATTTTAATGTACCATGACATCTACCTGATGTCATAGGAAAGTTTTCTCATCGGAAAATTTTTCCTACGGGATTTGGCAGATAATCTTATAACTTTTATATTTTCTTTATTACAGAAATATTATAGAAAAGTTAGAAAATATAGAAAAACCATAAGAGAAAAACATATTTTCAATTATATGAAATCCTTGTTTAAGGCAAAAGAATATTTTAAATTCTGGGGCGAAGAGGGTGTCTTCCTAAGTTTCTATTTTAATGGCATAGCACACATGGAGCACATGTTCAACTGAACGACCACAGTGAATAAGCACTATAAAGGGAGGTAAACAAAGGCACATCCTCCTCTAAAGATCTCTTTTGTCCTAAGCCAGCAATGAAGAACACAGAAACTCCAAACATTTCCACACAAGAGTTTCATGCATATGTAGCAGCCTGATATATCCAAACAACAAAGTGCACAGTGAGAGCTGGAGTATCATTCTACTGCAGCTATTACACTTGTTCTTAAGTTACGAAAATACTATTCACACATACCTGCATTATTACACCACCTCACCAAGAACCGCTCCAGAAAAATAAAAGTTATACAACTTGAGAAGCATGCAGAAAAAGGTTTATAGAAGGCTAATTACCTATAGAGCTAATTTTAGAAGCCTCTAAATCTCACACACGAGCAACCCTTTCACTAAACTACTATAAACAAAATGTGAATAATCTCCATCATACTTCATCATTCAGAAAGGAAAAAGTAGACATTTAAATAAATAAACAAAAGTCCTTTATGAAAAAATTAGTAAGGAATCTACTTAAGGAAATAAAAATTCACTTAGCTTCATTAATAATGTACTTATTTATAGTTACATAAAATTTTGAAAAACCTGTGTCCTTAGCTGTGGGTACAGTTTGTAGGTTAGAAAGCTTATATATACATAAAAACATAATTTGAAACAAGTTTAAATTATTTGTCCGATGCACAGGATACATTCTGGTATATTGTAACAGGCCATTGTCAACATCATCTTCACAGAGATGGAGGGATAGATGCTGCTTCAAAAATGTAAAGATCAAATGTATTCCCTTATCTGGGACCTTAATTGGGCTATTGGTCCCATTATAGTCTTACTAGAAATTCCTTCAGAAAAATACATACATATATATATATATATATATATATATATATCTGAAACATCTTTCTGTAACAGTACTTAATTCGTTAATAATGTTATGAACAAATAAATGAAATTAACCTTTCAAATTTTCTTGGATTTGGCTGCTTATTTCCATGTAGTTAGCTCAAACCTTCTGGAACTTTTGAAGGAACAATGATTTACTTCTTAGTTGCCTAATGTCTTGAAGAAGTTAATTTAATGCTCACAATACTCAGTCAAATCTAGAGTCTATGTCATTTACATTCAAAATTGACTCCATTTTTTTTAGTGGTAACTCAAATACATAACTGAACATGTGACATAGCAAAAGGCAATAGCCTTCCCAGTCAAACCCAGAAATGTGCCGCATCTATTTCTTTCTTATATGTAAAACAAAAATAAACAATGGATTCATAACCATAGAAAACAAAACCTGGTTGAAATCCTCTATTTGCCACAAAACATGCATTTCTTCATTATGTACAAAAGAAAGACATTTTATTTCATTTAGGTGCATCCTGGCCAGAGAGTAAAATGCCTTTAGAAGTCATTCAGAAACAAATCAGAAAAATCACACAGTGCCTGAAGCAGTTTTATGATCGTCTGCATCAGCTGGTCATTTACATTACTTATGTTGCAGATTATCATGTAGAATCTGAATTTCTGGTCAAAAGGCTCAGATGGCTTACTACACTTCTGTAACCACTAGTGTTTATAAGAGAGAGGATATTCAACAAAACCGTAAGTAATCAAAAGAATTCCTACAATGACACCCCCCTCCCCTTCTCCATTCCGTACTGCATTTCATCTGTTATGCATAAAACGTCAATACTAGCCTCCTGCAGCTAAAGATGACTCTTTTGACTTTTTACTTATCACTCACACTGCAATACAGAACTAAATACATGAGATGAAAATCGGTTTGTGCTAACCCTCAAAGCTCTAGATAAAATTAGATAAATAACATCATGCTGTTGAATTAAATGCCAATATGTGTGACAAAAAACTGTCTCAGAGACTTAGATATACGCAGGCACAACTGAAAATATGAATTTATCTTCATTTTAGGCAAACACTTTATGAAGTCTGAGATATGGTAATACCTCAATTATAAAAGAAAATTCACTGCCAGAAACCTCAGAGTAGAGCCCACAAAGAAAGGTAAATGGATGCACACTGTAGACTGACTCAGTTCTTGCATGGCTTTGTAAGACAGTTCTCTCCTCATGCATGTGGCCCTCAGAACTCAGCTACACAAAGCCACGCTCTTCTATCGAACCTCCACAGAACCAGCTCAGGAGGCACCTCCTCCACTTCCAACGACAGCACCTTCCCTTTGTCCAAGATGGAGCCCATGTCCACGTCTTCTACAAGACTCTGTGCCCTATGGGTCTAAGTTAGGGTTTTCTCCTCAGCCCCCAAATAACTGACGCCATATGGTGCCAGGGAAACCAGAATCTTTTTCATAGTCTGTTCCAAGAGATAATGAAACCTATGAAAGTGCAATATCATTTTATGCATCACACAGAACAAATGACTATAGGTAACTAAATAAGATGTTAGGGAAGGATTTTTCACTATCTGAGTAGCCACGTTTGGTTCTGTCTCACCAAAGCAATGAAGAAAATTATATTCCCTGGAGCATGGGGACCACCTGTTCCAACCACGCACAGGCACCAATACCATGGCTTTTCATACCTTGGCAGCCACTGATGAGTTGGGCTTCTCCAGCAAGTCCCATAGTTTCTTCCTTTTCTCAGGGCAGCAGGTGTTATCAAACTCTTCTCCTTCTCGCTCCCGCATGGTCTCTGCCTCTCGCCTCAGTTCTTCGTTCATTTGTTCTTTCTTCTGATGGTATCTGGCTTGGCAGCAGGACTCTAAGTAGATCTCATCAATCCCCCAGTAATCAAGTTCTTGGCCAAAAGAGAGCGCACACATTTCCTCCATCATGTGGAGCTTCCCTGTCCGGTAGAAATTTAAAATGGACGTGAAGGCTCCAGGATGTCGGTCAAAGAAGTACTCATTCTCGTTCAGATTATAGTCATCGCACACCTCCAGGAGGCTCTCGTGTGTGTTGCAGTCTCGAAGCTTCCCCAAGCGTGTCCTGGGCAGCCTGTCCAGCGTTCTCCACAGGACTTCGTGGTTGAGGCCTCCCACGTTGATCTTAACTCTCCGTGAGCACGTTTTACTCCTGATAATGTCCACAGGTTCTGGAGGAAGAGAAAGTGTTGACCTTGATGTTTTTCTGTTTAAGCCAGAGGGAGCCTTTTCTGCCATTTTGAACTGGACAAAGCCACAGAGCCAGGGTCCTTAAAATAATGAGGTCAGCTGAAGCAAAATCTCTCTGGGGCAGGCATCTCCATTGACAACTGGAAGAAAACAAAGACCATTTGGTTATTTGCATTTTCCCTAGAATACTTCCTATTCTACAGGATAGACCTGTTGCTACAACCAGGAGGCATGATATTAGTTACTCACTCCCTTTTAGGGGTATAAACCTCTGCTTTAGGACATAAGAATGGGAAAAACATCACAATGTACCTCACAGAAGAGGCTGTGTATTCACTTGTAGATTGGCAGCTCCCAAATATGTCACCAGAGATCCCCTCTCAAGCAGCAGAGTAAACTTCCCATGTGCTGATGAAGTCTTCCTAGGGAAGCCACAGCTAAACTCACCACTCCTCCAACCTGTCCAGTCAGTTCCTGTCCATTCTCCAGCACAGGTTTATGACTTTCCTATCGCCATACCCAATCACCCAAGCTCAAACTGAGAAATCTTGATCTATTCACCCACATCCAAATAAGCACGAAGTCTTACAAATTATGTCTTCTAAACAACTCTTAAACCCTCCGTCAACTTTATTGTTTCCATCACTAAAAAGCTGGTTAAAACCCTTGGCATCTCTTGCCTACATCTCTTTAACAGCCTCTTATACTTATTCTGCATTCTAAACTCTAGTTTTGACCATCTAAAAACCATTTGCCATAGAGCTTCTGGAATGATCTATGAAAATACTCATTTGACCTTGCCACTCATGGGTTTTAAACCTATGAAGGCTCATTGTTATAGGAAGCATAGAGTATGACCAGCCCTGAAAAGTGTAGTCAGCCCCACTAGATCTGCCCTACTTCTCTACTCATCTCTTATCTCTCCTTCATCACTATACAGTAGCTCCCCCCTTAAAAGCAGGTGAAGCACTGACTATCAGTGGGGGTCCACTGATGCTTGAAACTGGAGAGTACTGAACCCTATATATACTGTGCTCTTTCCTATATATATGCAATTATGACAAAGTTTAATTTATCAATTAGACACAGTAAGAGACTAACAATAACTAACAATAAGATAATCATAACATACTATAATAAAAGTTATTTAAAATTTATAAATAGCTTATTTCTGGGACTTTCCATTTATTGTTTTTGGACCTTGTCAGAACATGGGTAACGAAAATCACAAAAAGTAAAAGTGTGGATAAAGGAAGAAGTGCTGTATTTCAACAACCCATACTGCAAGCACCATAGCTTCCAGCGCCTGTTCTGTCCATGCTATGTCCAGGAAGAGCTTCTATCTTTCCTATTTTCTTTTGACTAATTGTTGCCTGATTTGCAAGACTCAGGTCAGATATCACCTTCTCCAGAAAGTTCTTAATATACTCCCTCTTGGATCATGAAACTCTGTGAATATCTCCTCTATGTCAGCATATCACTGCAAAGTAATAGTGTACTTCCCACAGTATGTTAGGAACATTTGAGAACAAGGACCATCTTTCTCTATGATTAGATCACTATGACCAAGCACAGCATTAATACATTATAGAGGTTTGACATATGTAAAAAATGATCAATCTTTGTTTTCCATAAAGCAGTTGATAAAATGAAAGTATATGACCAGAAAATGCATAAATGGAATTACTGAGATCACATCCCTAAAATGAACCTGTGTTTTACCTGCGATGTGTATACAGGGTATGTCAGTGTGTATGTGTATATTTTCTTTTGCTTCACAGCTTTTTTCTCCTTTATACTAACTCTTTAAAATAATACTGCTCTTGTATTCTTATTGATTTATTATATCGATTTATTATTGATTATTGATTTATTATTCTGATCTGCAGCAGCAAAACTCCTCATAGTTATCTTCTAAATACTGTTGCAGAAAATCATGGAGCTTCAAGTAATTCATTGAAAATACCACCTTTAATGCAAAATACCATGTTTCATAAGTCAATGGCTTATACCAAAGGGAACAACTTGTAGATTTAAGAAGTTCTTAATATTAGAGCTCTTTTGCAAGATGCACACCAATTTCTGCACGCCCATGGTTTCTCCATCCTATAAGTTAAATTTATTTCTCCATCAGGAAGCCATGTATCCTTTCATAAGTAAGGCTTATGAAAAAACAGGACCATATATGAAATACTTCAGATATGGCCAGCAAATATATTTGAATTGGGAGTTTTCCAACTCCCAATGGTTCAGAAGTATTTTAAGCATACACACACTTTCCTCACAGATAACAAAAATGCTCATTTTTTACAAAAAGAAATAAAGAGTAATGATTGAGTAAGTCACTCAAACTCTCTGAGCTTCAATTTCCTTATCTGCAAAATGAGATTAATAGATAGGTAGCAATATGGTGATTAAATGAGATAGTTTATGCAAAGTGCTCACTATGGGGAGGTCTATATGAATAGAATAAGAATAAGAATATATAATATATATTATATATTATATATATTCTTATTATATATTATACATATTCTTATTATATATTTTTTATATATGATATATATATTGTATATATATTCTTATTTTATATATATATAGATACATATACATACATATATATATATATACACATATACATACATATATACATATATATATATATATATATATATATATATATATATATATATATATACACCAAAAGTTTGGTTTGCAGCTACTTAAAGAAAATGAAGAATAAAAGCTGTATCTGTGACTGTTAAATAAATTCTAGCATATCTTCTGTCTTCCCAGTACATTATATACCTACAAGGCCTGGAATTATGGGTCCCACATTTTTGCTACCAAGTACTGTATCCACAAATGACAGGCAACTCATTGTATGCATCTTAGTACCATTGATGTTCATATATGGATCTCATATTCAAGTGACAATGATCTAGTAACATTTTTTAAATTGAGCAGCAATATCAAAATCAGGCAAAACCAGCTGAAAATATTAGAGATGGGGCAATTCCAGTGCTGAATCTGAATGCCTAGTCTTCATTAAATAACTTCGCTGTAAGGGTGCTAACATCTCAACAACCCATATAGATTCTGACTAGTTCACATGAACAATAAGCAGTGAGGCTAATCTGTTTTGAATTTGGATATGAATGAACTTACCCTTCTTGGAATATCATGTATTCTACTAATGTGAAGAAGATAAACAGTTTTTGAACTGATTATAGCAGTTATGAGGTTTTCCAGAAAGAGAGCTAATGCCAGCATGGTAGCGTGATACAAATATCTCCTATCTGTGGTCAAGGGCATAGTGTAACTTGCCTTCTTGTAAAAGTCATCACTAAGAGCAAATACTATGTCAGAGTCACTGGTATGTTACCATTTGCTTTAAATAATTTCATGCCTATGATGTATAGTAAATTTTCCTTTTTGTAAGTAAAATGTCTCAAGTCAAAAGTGAAGAGAGGTCATAAGACTTAAATTTCAAACTATCTTCTTCACTGATCAAGAACTTTCTATTATAAGAAATCCAGTGTTGATTACAAATCCCACAATAAAAGACAGACTGAAATTCAATGCCCTTTCTTCAAAGCACGGAATAGAGAAACACAGGGTGAGAGAATAGCCTGTTGATTTGATTTTCTTAAGACTTAAAGATGATCAGCTCTGATTATTGTTACTGTGGTTAAAATTTCTTTACTCTCCCATGACAAAATGTTCCACATTACCTGATAAAGAGTGCAGACTCAAAGGCATAAATTCTTGAGTAGTTGAAGAGCTGTGAGTAGTGTTCAGCGTCAATCAAGTTTTCAGAATAAGTCGGTAAGTCAGGTAAACAGCAGAGCATCAGCCTCAATCAACAAACCCTTCAAAACTCACTGAGCCTTTCTGTCTGCCAGCTGTCATTCTCCCTTCTCACTTCATCTGTGGTTTTCTCTCTTTCTCTATTGCCCCACATACTGCGTGTCTTTCCTCCATTCCATCCCCTCTTTCAATCCTGTTCCCTAGATCTTTCTGTCTCACAACCTATTTAACCAACCACAAAATCAACGAATATACTTCAAAACTTGTGCCTACTTTATAAAGTTTTCTATATCCTATCTTAGTTTAAAAATAAGCCTCCTGAGCAGAAAATATTGTGTCTCCTGCCAGAAGAAGAGAAAGACATCTAAACTGAATTGCTTTTGGGGGAGTAGAGGATTCTCGGGATTGAATCCAGGGCTTCACACTTGCAAAGTGCATACTTTACCACAGAGGTACACTCCAGTCCAATTACTTTGTTGTTGTTGTTGTTGAGATAGGGTCTCACTAAAACACAGGCTGGTCTTGAACTCCTGGACTCCACAGATCCTCCTACTTCAGTCTTCCAAGTAACTGAGACTTCAAGAAGTCCCTTCATGCTCATGGTGCCTGACTCAAGATGCTTTTGATGGAAGGTTAGGAGGTTGAGGACATCAAAGTCCAGTTGGGCTGACCTTCTGCTTCCCCCTTATCTTTCTGATTAGACTTTATTTTCCCTCACCCATTAAACAGTAACATATCTATGCACATAACTCTTTGATACCCTATGACAACTGGTTAATTTTTCTCCTCCCACTGTGATTCAGTGGCCTTTACCATTCTACACCTTCAATCACCATCCTTGCTTTAAATAGAATTTTAGATAGAAATAAACTTATACTACATTACAGTCATTGGAAACATTTTTTCATATCTAGTTTCTTAAGAAAAGGTGGTTATCATATTTCAAGAGCCCTTTAATTTTTACATGGCGTGAACCAGACTACCTTTAGAACACCATAAAAGTTTCACTTATTTAGTGTTTAGTTGATTTTCTATACTTTAATGTTTCTCTTTTAATCTATGTTCTTTTCTAGCATGTTAATTTTACTTCTAACAATGAATCTGTCAGTTCCCTCTGGGATAGGTATTATGTCTTGCCACTCCAGAGTGTTTGCAAAATTTATGTTTTTAATTTTAATAAAGAAAGTGAATACACTGCTACATTTTCTCACATATAATTTTACACATGAAATTATGTCTATCATAATAATTTTACCCCATAAGAATTAACCATGTAATTCAATTGAGTCTGTAAGTATAATATACAATGTAGCAATTCAGTGCTTAAACT